TTGGCCTCACATTGGTACCTGCTAAATAGGCCACAATGACTGGCTAGCCAGCCCCAGAATCTATCTGACTCCACTCCCCAAGGCTGGGATTATAAGTGCACATCACCATGCCTGAATTTTTTTTAATATAGGATCTGGGGTGTCAAATTTAAGTTACCATGCTTACAAGGTAAGCACTTTACTGAGTTATTTTCCTAGGGCATCTATTCAGTCTGGAAAACAAACGACAGCATGTGACTCTAATTAGTCACCATACTTGTACAACAGGAAAGACAAGGACCTAACAGCTTGATGATTCTGTTACAAGATACATAGGAGAAAGCCCTCATGGAGTGACAAACACGCACCCTACTTTCTGCAGGGCATGTTTCCTCTCTGGGTTCACCCTGTCCCTCCCCTCTATCATAGAAATAGCCTGATGTGACACACACCTTCATTCGTCTCCGAGAGAACCTCCAGACCACTGGCTTCACTTCCCCCATTTGATAAACTAGAAAGAAAACGTCAGAAGTGGTAACTCTTTACATTCCATTTTTTTGTTTTGTTTCGTTTTGTTTTTTGTTTTTCAAGACAGGGCTTCTCTGTGTAGTTTTGTAGACCAGGCTCGCCTCAAACTCATAGAGCTCCACCTGCCTCTGCCTCCCGAGTGCTGGGATTAAAGGCGTGTGCCACCGCTGCCTGGCTACTCTCACTTTTTCTTTCCCTGGATGTGGGATAGGAAAGGATTTAGCTCTATCAACATTCTTTTTTGTTTTGTTTGATTTGGTTTGTGTTTGGGGGGGGTTCTCTGTGTAGCACCTCTGGCTGTTCTGGAACTCTCTTTGTAGACTAGGCTGATATTGAACTCACAGTGATCTGCCTACCTCTGCCTCCCAAATGCTGGGATTAAAGGTCTGTGCCAGCACTGCCTGGCATCTCTCAACATTTTAAGACTGAATGGCAAGTGTTTTGTTCAAGATTTCCCCCTGAGTATAACAACATAAAGTCTAACTCACTAGCTTGAACAAAAGTGTTGGCTGGTTCTATACAGTGTCCTCTTTTTGTCTTGTGACTGTAGTGTCTAGCCTACACTGTCCTGGGCAGCCAAGACACGGGGCAAATCCATGGAAAGCCAGCTCCTCAGTGAAGCCTCAAGAGCACCCCTGTACTGCGTTTTTCCCTCACCTGTTTGGTTTTGCTTACACAGGCATTTCAGTCTTACTGTGAGATGGTGTGTGTTGGGGTCTATGGAGGGTACGGTAAAGAAAGAATTCAGTAGCAGAACTAAGCCAGCCTCTGAGAGCCACTTGCAGCTGGGTGTTGATGAGAGCTCTATGCTGAGACTGGCAGAACTTCCCTGCTGTGCCCAGCCTGAATCCCCAGTCTGGAGAGTCATGAGACCAGCACAGGTTCTGTTATGCTAAGTCCCTGCCTTTGGCATTAAATGTAACACAGCGATGTATAGCTGAACCCTTGATGACATTGGAAATAAAGATTTAAGGGTTTTTCCCCTTCAAAAAAACAGCAGTCTGATCATTGGAAGTCTAGGATCAATGTGGCAGGTTCATAGCCATGGGGGACCCAAAGTCTTCTGTATTTATGTTGAATCTCCTTTAGTCTATGAATTTTGTAATGGATAATATTGATTGTCAACTCCATGGAATTTAGAGTCACCATAGAAACAAACCTCTGGGTGCGTCTGTGAGGGAGTGTCTCCACTAGGTGAACTGAGAAAGAAAGACCCACCCTAAGTGTGGGTAGCAACATTCCTTTGGCTGGGATCCCAGACTGAGCAAAAAGGAGAAACTGAGCTGTAGACCAGCATGCATTGCTCTCTGCTTGCTGGCTGTGCAATGTGGCCAGCTGCATCAGACGCCATTCTATTGCTTCCCACCATGGAAGACTGTACCCCCAAACTGTGAACCAAAATATACCCTTCTCCCCTGGGTTGCTTTTGTTGGGCATTTGTTTCTCACAACAAGAAAAGTAGCTGGTAACCATATGACTTTCTACTTCAAAGTTGCCTCAGAACCAGGACAGAGCTCCAGCAATCATAGTTGCATTCCAGGAAAGGAGTGGACACTGTAAAAGAACTTCCTCGAAATCCCACCTAGAAACCAGTGGTTTGACTTTCACTTGCTACTTCAGTTATGCCAAAGACCAGAGAAATGCAGGGTTTTAGCTAGCAGGCTGTCACTTTTAATAAAAGCAAAGCCCCTGCTCAATAAGGAATAACAAGGGGATGGGAAACTATTGGGCAGGCAGTCAGCAACGTCTGCCCTAGCACATGTGAGATGAGACTCCACCACACCCCAGACTGGAAAGTACAGCAGGGTGCAAAACTGCGCTCCCTAGCCCCACCCATGCCGCTTGTCATATAGAGGGCATGTTGATTTCCTGAAGAGTTTGCACTGGCTGTTTTGACCCGTGGTGAGCAAGTGGACTTCAGTGATCTCATTGCTAGGTGGACACCCTGGTTCCCTGGGCCTTTTTACAGGGAACATGTAAGAGTAGGGATTTTATTCTCAGGATTTGTTCTTAACCTGGGCAAGTGCTTGCTGTTTGCTTTTTGTTGAGACATAATTTCAGCAGGACCAAATTCAGCGTTCTAAACGATGCTTCGCTCACGATTAAACTTTGTGCCTGCAAGTGGTCAGGACAGGCTGGTCCCTCAACCCTACTCCGGCAAGGCCCCAGTCCTTGTCACCTAGACCCGCCCCTTGAGTGGGTGCTCGCTCTCATTGGATGATGAAAGTCTTGCATCCTGGGATATTTTAAATCTTGTTCAGAAAATGAAGATCAGGGTCCTGGTGCAGTTCTCTGGGGCAGGGAAAGAGGACCCACGGGGTTAGGGTAGACTCTAAGCTGCCTGTGAGCCACCTGTCTGCAGGCTGCTCCCTGCCTGAGCTAAGAGGAAAAACGGGGTTCCGCAACAAGGATCGGGTGTCTTCAGCAGCCTCCAATACCCTAAGGTGCAACGGCAGCTTGGAAGCCCCCTGGATGTTGCTGTAAGACTTCAGGTGGCACCAATTAGAGTGAGTAGTGAGGTGGCAGAGAACACAGTACTAGCATTTGCTAAAGGCCTGCACGTCGCAGATGCAAAGAGAACCTCATCACTCTACTCCCATCTTGGGAGCCGGTGCACCCATTCTACAGGAGGGAACCCGAGGCTCACAGGAGACACACTAACTCCAAGGAAGAAAGCTGAAATCGCAGCGCCCCTGCCGAGCTCGTGCTCTCTGATGTGTACTGTGCCGTGCTGTGGGCACCTGTGGAAAATGCCCCCAGAACCACCCTGGTCTGGCCTAGAGCTTGCCACTCCAGTGGGGCCAGGACATCAGGAGGGGGCTCAGCTCAGCCCTTCCCTGAGCCAGTGGGAGGTGGGCACGAGCTCCCCCTCCCTCCCTGTGTGTTGCCTGATGCTCATTCCTCAGGCAGAGAGGGTACTGAAGAAGACTCCAGGATTTGGGGTCTGCCTCATCCCTTGTCACTAGGAGTCTGTTTTTCTGAGTGACTTGCCAGCTCTCCCTGGCTGGCCATCCTCACAGTGGCTCTGAAAGCAACCGGAGAGGCAGCTGAGGGATCCTGGCTGATCCGGAGCCCAGGTGAAGCAAGCTAGAGGCTGGATTGATGGGGAGGTTGGCGTGTCACAAGTCTGAACGCAGAGCAGGGGAGGGTCCAGGCAGGCAGGATTGTAGTTGGGTTGTTTGGTTGATGAAGGGGGTCAGCGTAGGCATGTGTCATCATCGAGGTAGGCAGGGAAGGGGAGGGCTGTGCGTGGGGGGAGGATATATATGCTGGTGTGGCTGACACAGAAGAACAAACCTCACATCTGAGAGAGCCCTGTGACAGACAGCGTCAGGTAGGCAATGCATGTGACCCCAGCACCAGCCGGCTGGCACTATCTGCCCGGAGCCTCTCAGGAAAAGCAGGACAGCCTGGCCGGCTCCTCCACCTCTGTCTTTTGTCCACTGTGGCTGCTTGCTGGCCTCTTGTGAGATTATGGCTTCATTCATCTTATTCTCAGGGTTCCGATGGTAGAGAAGGGGGAGGGCTGAGGGCTGGCTAATCTCAAAGAGAAATGAGAAAGAAAGCTGAACTTGGAAATGAGGAAAAGTTTTGCTTTCCCAGTTGTGGCTCCGACTGGGGGACAGATACACATGGAAAAGGTGGCTACAGGGACAGAGGGCAGACACTGGGAAGGGGCTTCCATTCAGAGCAGCCCGAGGAAGCCCCTGGCACACCTTATGAGGGTTTTTTTGTTCTGTGGCTTCCTGCCCTTTGTGCAAGCATCTGCTCTAGTGTCATTGGATCTGATGTCATTCCGGTTTGAGTTCTCGTACACCTTAGTGGGAATTGTTAAGAATATGGGGGAAAGACAGACCCGAGGGTTGAGCTTCACCTGTGTGCATGGCTGAGCGCAGTCAGTCGCTGGCTGGATGGATTTCATGGGCGTTTCTGAAGGCATGACCTTGGTCCTCCGATCCTGGGTTGTTTCGAGGTAGTACCCTTTCTTTCTTGATATCTTTCCCTCCACTGCCCGTCTGTCCCACCCAAAGGTCTCTCTGCCCAGGTTGCATGGAACTCTCTCACGTCAGAGCATCTGAACTCTGTCTGCCCTCTCTCAGCCTTCTCTTTCTCCTCCTCCTCTCTTTGTGAGTCTCTTCCCCCTCCCTTCCCAACCCATCCTCTCCTCTCCCCCATCTCCCTTTGAATATGGGCAAGTTCGGAGGGGAATTTCAAGTAAGGCAGGATGATTCGGAAGGGGGGCTATTTAAAGCATGCCGCTTTGGACTTGAATACCCCAAGCCTGGGCTTAAACATCTGTGTTTAGCTTCCTCCAGCAGCTCATAATTGCCCCAATTATAACCAATAACATTGTTCGGCAGACTAACAAAAGCTGAGCTCCACACGGCATTTGCCAGCAAGCCCAAACGAGAGTTTTCATCACAGAGGGAGAAAAGTAACTGCCCGGCTTCGTATCAAAACCTCCCAAAGAGAATGCTGTGATTTCTCGCTGCCTGTGGGTGGATGCTGCACACACCCTCCTTTTTCTCATTTATGAAGCCTAGCAGGGAAATATTCGACAAGCTTCCATCAGTGCCATGATACCTTAACAGAAAGGATTCGTATTCCTTGCGCTTGCTGAGTCTTCTGCAGGGACAGCTGCCCCAGACAGCTCCTGAGTAGCAGGAACAGCCGCACTTTTCCAGGTGACACCCAGCGCTGTCTGCGGAAGGTACTCTGGTGCAGCTGAGGGTCGTCTTCTTCAGGTGCAGCAGCCCTGCCTCATCAGCTGAAGTCTGAGGGCACTTAGGGCTGCAGAAAACTCAGCAGGTTTTGCATCGCCAGTGAAGGGAGTAATTGCAGGATTAGATGTTAGCCGAGCCTGAGAATGGAGCTGTCACCAAGCAATTCCATCTTCAATCAATCAGGTATTTATCAGCTGCACCCCACCAGGCAAGGGAGGCATGGGGCTCTATAGATTCAGCAGAGGTGCTAATAACAGCACTTTACTTTGTGCAGTGATTTACGCACCTCGCACCCATTATCTCCAGCAACAACCCTGAAAGGCAAAAAAAATCATTATCTCAGAGTTGCAGGGACAAGACCCAGTGCAGCAAGCAAGCACAGCCCAGGGCAGCTGTCCTAGGTCTGGTGCTCACACCCCTTAAGGTCTGTGATGCTGGCAAAGGAGTAGCAGCACAGACAGTCAGGAAGCAATTCGAGATAATGGGATAATACAGCGCTGGGTGTGATCAGTCCTACACTTGAAGTCCAGAGAGTCAATGCTGGAGGAACTTGAGGAAGGGCACCTCCTCCAGGGGCTGAGGCCAGTGGGAAAACGGTTAAAATCCGGGTGGGCTGGAGGTTTGAAGGCAGCTAGAACAAAAGCACAAAAGAAAGGCAAAGGAATTCATATTTCTTGAAGTTACCAATGGCAGGCAGTAAGCTAAGCTTACACACACACACACACACACACACACACACACACACACACACACAGTGATGATGAGAGGGGTTTAGTCCTTTATTGTTCACTTGCAATGATATGGTTCAAAGACCCTTCCTTCCCCAACTCCACAGCTCACACAGACCATAAGAAAATGCTTACGTCTCCTGTACTCTGGGTCATCGGGCATTTTAGGAGAGGATGAACACATCCCAGAGAATGAGAGGCATCATAACATCGGCTTTTGGGGGTTGAGTTCTTGGGAACTCATTAGACAAACGGGATCTTTGAAACACTTCTCCTTCAATGCCTACAGCTGCTCCCACAACCTCATGTAACCACAAACTAGCTGTGAGGTTTGGGGCACACCAATTTTTCGTTTGGTGGGGGAAAGGGGCCACAAGTTGATTTTTCTGAGCATTGTCACCCTCAATAGGCTACCACCACTTTAATCATCAACTTTGCATGGTCCTGGGTCTGTCAGAATTCCGGCAGCTGCTTAGGCATTGCAGCAGCATAGGCTAGCCAGGTGGGAGAAGCTGGACTTGCCTCCCTGACAAGCAGCCAAGGCCCTGCAGCCTACAGTGTCATAGTCAGCCCCCCTTCTCCTCACGCTAGCCCTGTGATCTTCCCTCATCCTGTCACCCCATTCATCCTTTCATTCATCCGACTGTAAACGTGCGTGGTGTTCCTGGGAGGAGCCGAGCAACGTGCGTGCCAGTGGTGCAGAGCCGTCCATCATCAGCTTTCTCCCAACGCACAGCCGAAGGCTCAAAATGTGAGTGAGCCCAGACCAGTGCCCTCCAAAGGGGCTTACCTACCCACGTACCTACTAGGGTACTAGAAATTGAGATGCCAAATTATTTTTTATTTTAGCACACACACACTACACACACACACACACACACACACACACACACACATGCATATAGGCACACTTTCTCCTGCAGACACATGTGGAAGCCAGAGGTCAACATCAGGCATCTTCCTCTATTGTTCTCCACCTGCTTTATTTTAGCAGAATCCCTCACTAAGCCTGGAAATCCTGGTTTAGCTAGACTGACTGGAGACAAGCCAGCAGGAGCCACTTGTCCCTACCCCAGCCTCAGCACTGGGGTTACAGGCACACAATACTACTCCTAGCCATACTATATGGGTTCTGGGGTTCTGAGCACAAGTCTTCATGCTTATGCAACAAGCATTTTATATACCAAGTCATCTCCCTGCCCCCTAAATCTTACCTTTCTTAATTTGCTCATTAATGGATTTTATATAATATACGTAACATTCATGAAGAGGTTGAGAATGTATATTCAAAACTGATTCCTAGAGTAACTGTGGTTAATGACAATTAATTCTTTATTCCAAAATAACCAATACAGAGGATTTAGAACATTGGCTACACAAAGGAATGATAAATGCTCAAAACAATAGTTGTACCAACTCACCCCAATCTGACTGTTACACATTGCACACATGTGTGGAAATAACACACTGTGCCTCCATAAATATGTGTAATTGTGTCAACTAAAACTTTCTTTAAAACTGGTTGCTGGAGATGCAAAACTAAAGACACTGAAAGACTATATAGTCTAGATTCATCATTGTCTTCCTATCTGGGATTTCTGATCATTTTAAAAAGAACATAGAGTGAATTTATAAAAGCAAACAAAGCTTTAAAAGTTCGTTTAAACTATCTTGATAGTGTATGTGGCAGCATTTGCCAGAATCAGGAAGGTGATTCCCTCGAGATGTGTGACAGCCTAAAGGACATGTGTCTGGCTTCCCTCCTGGCCCTTTGTGGAACCCAGATGCACCTTTACGAGCTTCATCTGTGGCTGTCTGAAGCCATTGCCCTGTGGTATCATCCATCCCCTTCCCTCCTTCTTTCTTCTCCTACTGGTCGAGGGCATTCATAAAATCAAAGGATATTACTAACCATCTTGTGCGACTGCCTGTTTTAGAAGAAGATAAATTGAGGCCCAGGAAAACAGTGTCATGCCTAAGATCAGGCAAGTAACAACAGAATCAGATCTAGAGCCCAGGACTTTGTCTCTAAGCACAAGGCTCTTTGTCATTCACAGCTCTTCCCGGGCACCCTTGACCCACTTAGGGTAGACAAGGGCCTTGCTCCGTATAGGGTAGGCAGGTGTCTTGGTCCATATAAGGTAGGCAGGTGTGTCGCTGGATTTTCTTGTCCCTCCAGGTCCCACCACTTCAGCCCCAAATGAACACAAAGAGATGCTATATTAATTATTAAAATGTTGGCAGGTGACTAGGGCTTTTTATTGGCTAGCTCTCTCTTAATTATTAACCTATTTCTATTAATCCATATATTTCCACGTTGTCTTGGCTTACCAGAGAATGCCAGGGCCTGTTACTCCTTAGCCAGCTACATGGCATCTCTCACGGTGCCTTTCTGCCTACCTGTCCAAGAATTCTCCTCTTCTCCTACCCCCGCCTATCTTCCTGCCTTCGGCCAAACTGTGTTTTATTCATCAACCAATAAGAGAAACATATATACAGAAGGACATCCCCCATCACAGGTGCCTTGTTCCATATAAGGTAAACAGGTATCTTGATCCACATAGGGTAGGCCAGTATCTTGGTTCACATTAGGTAGGCAGGTTCCTTTGTCCAATAAGGTAGGCAGGGGCCTTGGTCCACACAGGGTAGGCAGGGGCCTTGGTCCACCCACACAGGGTAGGTAGGTGCCAGCAGACAGGTACCTTGGTCCACATAAGGTAGGCAGATGCTTTGATCCACAAAGAGTAGACAGGTGCTCTATGCCCTAACCCTCTAAGTCCTTCCCTTCCTCTCTGAGTAGAAATTGAGAACAGGAAATAGAGCTTGGAAAGAAAGTAGTCTCCCTGGGTAAGAGCAAGCCATACTCTATACAGAAGTTTTAGCTGTTGTTACCCCAGATTTTGTTCCCTGGGTGATGAGAAAGCCTACGATTCTTTGGTGCTTCTATTAGAGAATGAGGATGGGACTCCTTCCTCCTAGAAGTATGTGTGGCCTCTTCCCTTTCATCAATGTGGTATACAGAATACCATTCTTTACAGGTTATAGATGAACTTTATAGTCATCTATAACCCTGAAATCCAAAGGTAACTTAATCTATCTTTCTGGGACAAATGCAAGTTCATAGGGGTTAAGCGGCTTGCCTGGTGAATAAATAGCAGAGCCCGCCTGTGATGGAGACCCAGGAATGAGGAAGACCCTGCACTCCCTGATGATGTATAGCCGATAGAGTGTGAGTGCCACTTGCTGAACCAGGGAAAGGAACCGAGCCGGTCCTCCAAATGAGCTCACATAAAGACAGATCATCAGAGCTTACGCTTAGGGGTCCAATCCCCACTCCGCTACTTCACAATGCATCCCTCCCGGCCTCAGTCTCCTCAACTGTAAAGTGGAGTTGGCAGCACTTAGGCCATAGGATGGAACCTCACAAAGTCATTGGTTCTCAACAGCTTTCAGTCATGGGGAATCCTTCCCAACACGATTCCCTCACAGTTTGCTATGCTTTTCAAAGCATAAACCTTGTATAGAGTCAGAACACGGGTTCACATACCCGAGTTTAAGTCCTAGCTGTGCTATTTGTCATCTGGTTCACCTTAGGCAAATTGCTTAACCTTTGTGAATTGATGTTTATCCCAGAAAGGAGGGTAAAGTTACCTCCAAGTGATAGGGCTGTAGATGAGAATAAATATTATCTACAGCCTATAGGGAACAATATTCCCTGTGTCACTGGTGGAAAGAGAGCCCCCTCCCCTTCTTCACCGATAGCACCTGGGCCGCAGGCTTCTCCCAGGTCAGGGAATGAAACAGAAGTCTCACTTCAGCTCTCCCTGCACGTGTTCTCATCCAACAGAAAAGCAACTAATTGTGTTGCCCTTGGAGGCAAGAGTACGTGCAAGCAGATTAAGACTAAATCACAGTAGTGTCTTATCTTTTTAAACAGCAAGATGCAATCAAATTTATAAGGTGCCATTATCTACACAAAAGGTAATTAAACCTTTCTTTATCCAATACAAAATGGCCTGATTATAGGATTGCCACAGTGAATGGCTAGTAGCTCCGGGCTCCATTATGAAATGGAAGCCATTAAAAACTCAAACATCATCAGGCACATTGTGCTTACTGAAGGCCAGTCATTATTTCTGGATAATCAACAAATGGGGGGGTGCATCATCTTCAAGTGGGGGGAAACTCATCTTCACCTTGCAGTTGAGAGGACTAGGGCTCTGGGGAGTAAATTAAGTTGCCCTATGTCACACAGTTACAAAGTGTATAGTTTAAGCATGAACTATATAAACTATTCTGTTCCCTTCTACTGGACACCAGTGTGTGTGCACAGTTCTGAGCCAGCACACATCTGGGGTTTGGGCTTCTTTTATCTGTTGTTGGAGGGGTGTGAGAGTGTATGTGAATGTGTGTATGTGTGTGTTTATGTGTGTGCATCTTCATGTGTGCATATGT